GAATAACTATGACTGCTCAGCAAAGAAGAAATCATTCCTTTAGTTAGATTTAAATTATCTAACATCACACAATCAGCATCTCAACTCTTTTCTACTCACCTCTCACCCCGCATGTCAGAATCCAATCTTATTTGCCCCTAATTGCTCCTTAGATTTTAGTCCACCCCTGACTGAGAGTAATTGTTTGAAATTATTCCAAGCTCAGGGTCACTGACTAAATTTTAATGACACTCTCTTTGTGTTTATAAATCTACTAAGGATGACAGTTGTTTTTTCTTTCTTTTTTAATTAAATCTGTATTGTTCAGATTATTACAGTTGTTCCTCTTTTCCCCCCCCTAGCACTCCTCCACCCGTTTCCCACCCCACCGTCCGCCCTCACCTCCCCCACCACTGTCCTCATCCATAGGTGCACGATTTTTGTCCAGTCTCTTCCTGCATCCCCCACAACCCTTTCCCCCCCAAGAATAGTCAGTCCATTCCCTTTCTATGTCCCTGATTCTATTATAATCACCAGTTTATTCTGTTCATCAGATTATTTATTCACTTGATTTTTAGATTTACTTGTTGATAGATGTGTATTTGTTGTTCATAGTTTCTATATTTACCATTTTCTTCTTCTTCCTCTTCTTAAAGGATACCTTTAAGCATTTCATATAATACTGGTTTAGTGGTGATGAACTCCTTTAGCTTTTCCTTATCTGTGAAGCTCTTTATCTGACCTTCAATTCTGAATGATAGCTTTGCTGGATAAAGTAATCTTGGTTGTAGGTTCTGGTAGTCATCACTTTGAATATTTCTTGCCACTCCCTTCTGGCCTGCAAAGCATCTGTTGAGAAATCAGCTGACAGTCGTATGGGTACTCCCTTGTAGGTAACTGACTGTCTTTCTCTTGGTGCTTTTAAGATTCTCTCTTTGTCTTTTGATCTTCCCATTTTAATGGGACGACACAGAGCATCCCGAATATGGTATAGCTCGCACCCGGCCCACCCTTCCAGCTCGCACCCGGCCCACCCTTCCAGCTCGCACCCGGCCCACCCTTCCAGCTCGCAGGCGCACTCAGCTCGCAGGCGCACTCAGCTCGCAGGCGCACTCAGCTCGCAGGTGCACTGGGCGTGCTATGGTTATATACTCCTAGTTTGATTGATTACTTGCGGGGTGTGATTAAGTAATTAATCTGAGTGAGGAGCTATGGTTATATACTCCTAGGTTGATTGATTACTCGCGGGGTGTGATTAAGTAATTAAGCTGAGTGAGGAGCCACTCGGAGCTGCCAGGTGCCCACCCTTGAGGTTTTCGCAGAACCAGCTGGGCCAGAGCCTCCGCTCCTCCCCAGGGATGAAGCTGGCAGCCTCAGCTCCTCGCACCCCCCCCCCCACGGCCAGGCCCCCTCCCCCCGATGGCCAGGGCCCCCCCCACCCCCACCCCTCCGTGCAGCCAGGCTGCTGTGGCTTCCATGACCGGGGCACAGAACTGGCCCTGCCTCGCCTGAGCTCAATCCCTGTTGGCTGTGACGCCGTTGCCCCATTTTGCTTCCATTAAAAATGTCTGTGTATTTCCAGAAGAAAAATAACAACATAAAGGGGAGGGAATAAAAGGGAAGTTATTGTATAAAATTAAAGGTGTAGTCAGTGTAAAATGGACTTTTATAACTAGATGAAGTTTTATATAAGCTCCAGTAACCACTCAGCAAAAAACCTACAATAGATTCACAAGAGAGGAGAAGGAAGATGCAAGGAAGAAAGAATTCTACCCAGAGTCTCAGAGGGTGGTGGCCCTTCTGATACCTTGATATAGGACTGTGATGCAATAAATTTCTGTTCTCTTAAAAAAAAACACAAAAAAACCCCCCACCCATGTATAACTAACCCATATGTATAAATAATGCATATATATAAATAACCCATATGTATAAGAAACCCATATGTATAAATAGCCCATATGTATAAGTATCCCATATGTATAAACAACCACTTTTTTTAGCAGGAAGCTGAGCATATCTGGCATGGTGCATATCAGGCTCTTCCCCAGATCACACTTGTTCCAGTGACCCCACAGCTATAAAGCTCCCATCCCTCCACATTATTTACTCTTTTCCTTGTGAGAATCAAGTAGAAAAACAAAGTACTATTCAGGGAGTTCAGCAAAAAGCATTTTATCAAGTGTCCTCTAATTCCTTTTCTTAAATTATTAACATAGACAGAAATGACTTTGGAAAGAGATGGGGGGAAAAAACAAAAACAAAGCAAGAACATCACCTTCCGATGATCAGTATGAAACTGCTAACCTGTTAATGATTCACTTGGGAACCAACTGAAAAAAAATTAAATTTACTGCGAATCAAAGAACATATATGCACTGAAGAGGTATGTTTCAGTTGATGAAATGGCTCCAGCAAGCAGTCTGGTGCTTGGCAGTTCATTTGCCACCTGGCATAGACCCAGAATTTTAAAAAAAGAGATTTCAACATTAATCCCTAGTGTATTTTTGTTAAAGTTCCAGATTAATCCCTAGTGTATTTTTGTTAAAGTTCCAGTTAAATAAGGTTAGAAAAGGTACACTTGTTAAAAAAATTTTTTTCCCCTTGGATAGGTAACCTGCATTACAGAATGTAAGATTTAGACTATAATCTTAAGAAATACAGGATAATTGGACCAAAGACCACCAAAAAAGATATAATTCAGACATATTGTTGAAATAAGGTAAATAAGGGAATCCTATAATCATCTCACCTCCTCCTAGAAATTTTTCCTAGTCAATAACTTGTTCCACCTTCTCAAGATTGCCTTTTAAAAAAAAATTGCATTTCACATCCTCAGTGACCCCGCCCCCCCCAAACACACACACACAAATTTTTGAACAGGAGAGAGAGAGAGAGAGAGAGAGAGAGAGAGAGAGAGAGAATGGGAGGGGCAATTTCACCTACTATACAAGGACTTGAAAACTGTCCAGCGGGCTGGCCTGCCTAGGGGCGGGAGTAATGGAAGCTTCTTCCAACAGCCAGATCCATGGAACCCTAAAAAAATAGGCTCAGTGCTCCCATGTGTGGGGTTTTGTGGATCTCCCGGTTGCCCAAAGTGGTGAGTGTGGCGATAACCTTAACTCAGGCCCTCAGAAGCAAAACCTAGCAGTCACACACAAACTCACCACATCGCTCAGGGTTGCTGGGGACCAAGACTAGTTGCTAAGGACGCTGTAAGAGCCACTCTTAGAGCCAGAATGTTGCTCTTTTAGCGTCTCCTGACTAGATTTAACCAATCAGGACCTTTAAGTGCAATTCCACCGTCCTTTCCCCGCCTTCACCACATTTGTGTTCAGTATCGAACGAATAGATGCAATTATAGGTGAAAGACCTTCATTAGCTTTAAAATATAATCATAAAACACATAGTAATGATTCTGTTTTAATACTGTACATACGTTAGCTATCCGGCAGTAGCTGCAGCGAGAACTGGAATGACAGAGCCAGTGTCCCCTCAATGCCTAAATACCTCCTCCATAGCCTCGTCCCCCAAAACATAATAATCTACACTTAAAATTAAAACAGCATACTTATACAAAGGTAGCTGTTTCTTTTAACCGAATTGCTGTTCAAAGGCTCCTTTTACATAGAAAATCTGGATCTAATGGTGGATAAACAAAACATCCAGGGTGTTCTGTGAGTATTAACCACAAGGGGGCAAATTTCAATTCAAAAGAATGCCAATTTTTGAAGATAGTATCCATTAGTATTTTCTAATTCAAATCCTTATAAAATTCCGTCTACCAAGTGACGAGCAACTTCAACTTCAAAAACACCACAAATTTTGAGGAATTCTGATTAACTTTAAAGTTAATTTACAGAGATTGTTCTTGTTAAGTAAATTGCCTTAAAATATTAAGAACTTCAAAACACTTTAACTGATGAAAACTTCAGATACATCAATCCAAAATTGTTTCTGTTCATAAGATCAGGTAAGTCTTGTGATTTTATAGCCAATTTTTATATTTTAAACAGAAAGTATTAATCCAAACCAGAATGTATAACACCAAGAGTGAACTCTTAAACTGTGAACTTTGGACAATTATGATGTGTCAAGTTCATCAATTATAACAAATACACCAAATGGTTGGTTATTGATAATGCAGGAGGCTATGCATGTGTGGGGGAAGGGAGAGTATGGGAAATCTCTGTACCTCTTATTGTGTGTGTGTGTGTGTGTGTGTGTGTAAACTCAAAACTATACTAAAATATAATAAAAATGTAAAATCAATTAATTCACTTTAAAAAGTAATAAAGTTTGAAAAAACAGGGGAAAAAAAGAAAGTTAACTTCTGTCCTAGGAACCATTTTATTAGCATTATCCTGCAGCAGTTGTGACCAGATCAATTCCACATTCTGAAGACCACAGAAGAAAAGGAAGTTGAATTGTAAGAAACAATTCCTTGCCACTGAAACTGCCAGGGAAGAGACAGAATTAGTAATTTTCTTTTTAGAATATGAAATATTTTCCGAGCTTTGAACAACCTGCTGAACAATTAACTTTAAATGAATGACTTTTACAAGATTTTATTTTTTATTTTGTGGTAGAACCCTACATGCAATCAGTATTAATCAATAAATTAATATTCACTAGACACGGCTCTACTATATACAAAAAAATAGTTTTATTTTAATAGAATTTTTTTAAACTCTTTTTTTAAAAAAATATATTTTATTGATTTTTTACAGAGAGGAAGGGAGAGAGATAGAGAGTCAGAAACATCGATGAGAGAGAAACATCGATCAGCCGCCTCCTGCACATCTCCTACAGGGGATGTGCCCGCAACCCAGGTACATGCCCTTGACCGGAATCAAACCTGGGACCCTTCAGTCCGCAGGCCGACGCTCTATCCACTGAGCCAAACCGGTTTCGGCTATTTTAATAGAATTTCAAAGTTGTTTTCCTTTGTTTCTTAGTTATGTTACTAAAAAAAATAAATAAATAACAAGAGAGAGAGAATAAAGCTATTGACCAAGAAAGAATTTGAAAGCACTTCTTTTTAATGTATAAACTATGTTCTCACAAAAATAAAAACTAATTTAGGGAAGTAGCTGTAACATTTAGAGAACCATCAGAGTCCTTTTAAGGATAATGACACATTCACTAAAGAGTTTTCTAGAAATCCAAGGGTCTTTATATATCTTCCAGGAAAACTAACTTTTGGCTAAGGCAGAATTCAGGAACCAAGATAAGCAAACATTTCATATTTTAATACCTGGGGTTGTGATTCACAACCACTTCTTTGGGTTTTTTTTATTTTCCTTCATAAAAGTAACATAATGCTAAAATGAATTGATTTTTCTCAAATCTCCAACTGTATTTGTTTTTCTCCCCCTCATAATGCCAGACATTATTTTTGGCAGATGATGTTGAAAACAGAAAGTGGTTAGTTTAACCAGTTGGGCGGCTGTGGGTTCTTTCCTTTTCTTTCCAAATAATGAATAAGCACTTCCTTCCAGCAAAGAATGGAATAGAAGTTAGCATTTCATTGACCATGTAACAATCTTGAATAAAAACAAGTATCTGAGAGGGAAGAAAAACACCCTCAAGAAATATGTTTATGCAACTCACTTGGAGGTAGCCATTTCTGCACCTGTTTTCAGACGGGAAGAATTCCAGGTCATATACAAGAAATAAACTTATCTTTAGAAGTTGATTGTTTCTAAATGTAGCTCAATATAATGGACCCTCACAGTTTGTGTTTTCCTTTCTGCAAAACAAAACAAAACAAAAATTGATAAGGGTTTTGATTTGCAGGTCCAGTCACAGCCACTTGAGAATATGTGTACATCTTTCCTCTCAAAAGTTTCGTTAGTAATGATTAAAGATAATTCTCTCCCCTCCTCCTATTATTAACCCTACTAGAGGCCTGGTGCACGAAATTCGTGCATGGGTAGGGTCCCTAGGCCTGGCCAGCAATAAGGACTGATCAGGTTCCCCCCCCTTCTCACCTCGTCCTTCCCTCGCTCCCTTAGCCCCTCGTGGCTGCTGCTGTTTTGTGCCACCCCTGGTCATCAGCGCACGTCACAGCAAGTGATAGAACTCCCAGTCTCCCGGTCGAACTCCTGAGGGGACACTTTGTATATTAGCCTTTTATATAGAGAGATAGTTAACATCATTTCTTGTTTAAGTCACTGGGGGTAGGGGAGTGAGGAGGGATCCCATCTGCTTAAGTAAATGGCAAGTTCAGCAGTGTTTTCAAGGTCACCCTCAATGTGTTCCTCTGGGATTCAGATTGCAGGCTATTTGAATTTTCAAAATGCTGCATCCACAAAGAGAAATGATGCCAAAATGGAAACTACCTTATTCATCTTAAACTTGATTAGTTTGAAGGGCTTTCCTTGACAGTTTGAAAGATGTTACCAATAATTGAGGCATTCCAGGCTCTGCTTTGAAATATACCTGTGACCCAGAACTTTTAATATGTATAGGGCCTGACCTCTGTCAGTGATCACTTACTTTCTACAAAGCTATTTTGGGGCATATGCTGATTGCTTGAGGGGCCAGGAACACATTCAACTCCAGAATCAATATTGTGATAGATGGGATTTCATCTCTGTGGGGTCAGTCATCACTGTTGATCACCAAGAGACCATTCAGAATTTGTCATAAGTCTTGAGGCAGCCAATACTTTACAACCCTCCAACAGCACAGTTTGTACTACCCAAAAGAATAATTATGTCACTTGTAAAAGCATAGCCTTCGGAAATGTATAAAGGACCAAACTTCACAGCTATAGAAGTAGTTGGAAAACATATAACTGAAGTAGAATGAGTCTAGAAAGGGCATTTTAAGAATATTTGGCCGAAACCGGTTTGGCTCAGTGGATAGAGCGTCGGCCTGCGGACTGAAAGGTCCCAGGTTCGATTCCGGTCAAGGGCATGTACCTGGGTTGCGGGCACATCCCCAGTGGGAGATGTGCAGGAGGCGGCTGATCGATGTTTCTAACTCTCTATCTCCCTCCCTTCCTCTCTGTAAAAAATCAATAAAATATATTTTAAAAAAAAAGAATATTTGGGTGATACTTCCTTTTTTAAGATAAAAGAATGTGAAAGTTTAGACGAAGCATCATAATTTTTTTATTTTTCATTTTTTAAATATGGAACGCTTCACGAATTTGCGTGTCATCCTTGCGCAGGGGCCATGCTAATATTCTCTGTATCATTCCAATTTTAGTATGTGTGCTGCCGAAGCGAGCACAAGCATCATCATTTTAAAAGTGGAGGAAGGACCTGTGATGAGGATTGAAATTTTTGTTCACCTGAACAGAAATGTTCCAGAGCCTGTAGAAATCCTCAAAAGAAATGTGTACAGGAAATGGATATAAATTTCCCAGTTCTGCCCCTCAGAGAGAACAGGGTAGTATTTTGCGATGTTTCTCTCCAGTCCTTTTCATGCATATAATACATATTTACGTATTTTCTTGTAAGATGTTTGTTATAATTCCTTCCCTAGAAACTTGGGACTACATGATGTCCATTTTTGCTCAGTAGCTTTTTCCTTTCTCAGGGGCTCAAAATAATGTTGCACCTCATCTTCGATGGAGTCTCAGAAGTAACGAGATACGGTGTACAAAAAGCGCTGGGCACAGTGCCTGCCATGTCATAAGCCCTCCGATTAGTCTCATGATCTTCAGCCTCACCAGCACGTTCGAGGTCGGCCACGGTGGAGTGAGCAGCTTTTCTTTCTTTTTCTCATTTTCTCACTGGCACCTGCTGACCTGCATTTGGTCCTGGATTGACAGGCACATGGCAAATGCGGTCAGGAAAGGGAGTAGAGAGGGCTCGGGATGGGAAGAGAAAGGCTTTTTATAATATATTAAGAGATTCAGAGAAGAGGAGGCAGAGTTGTGTGTGTGTTTTTTAACAACAACAACAAAAAATCCCTCCGGGAAGCCAGAGTTATATATATGCCAAACAGGCCAGGAAACCCAGCAGGCCTCCTGGAGCTGGCAATGAATCGAAACAGGGGTCTTGTGTCCGGGCCACTGGCTGGCTGAGGGGGCATTGTTAGGGCCTGGCCTTGTCTGGGAGGAGAGGGGTCGAGGGGGGAGGGGGAGTGTGTTCCCATGACTCCCTGGGGAGTGACAACAATTGGGGCCAGCTGGGAAGCCAGAACACCAGGGGCCTGGTGGGCGGGTAGCAGGCCCCAGAGGGGCCATGGAGGGCTGTAGGGGGCTGAGGCGGCAAGGTGGGGGACAAGGTGGTGGGGGGAGGCTTAAGAAGGGGGAACATGAGAGTTAGTCACTACACCCTGCCTCCTCACCTCCACAGCTCTGGGCTGCTGAGTCTCCCCAAATTATACCCCAGATCTGCCACTTCTCTTCACCTCATGGCCCCACCCTGGTCCAAGCAGTCATAGTCTCTCACGTGGGCCATTGTAGGGCTTCCTCAATAGATTTTTGCTGCCAGCCTGGCCCCCTACACTCTTATCCACTCATAGCTGGGTCTTTCTAAAATGTAAATTAACGTCACATCACTCCTCTGCTTAAACCTGCCAAAGGCTGTCCTCATACTTAGAAGAAAACTCAAACCCTTTACTCTGGCCCACAAAGCCTGCCTGATGGACCCACCAGCCCCTGGGACTTCAGCTCCAATGCTCCAACAAGCCCCACCCTGCACTCTGCCTCAGCCACTCAGGCCTCCTGCCAGCCCTGGAAAGCTTTCAGCTGGTTCCCTTCTCCAGGTCTGTGCATTTTGCAGATCCTATACTGTAAATGGTTCTAGATACTTTCACTGAAGCATATTTGTGGCAAACATTTCTGCCACAAACATTTTCGCTGTAAAACTCATTGGCCATAAGGCAATTTTGCCATAAAAAAGATAAAATCACAACATTAGAGAGGACATAATGACAATAAAAAACAAAATTTTTAAAAAAGGACATAATGGCCCTGGCCAGTGTTTCTCAGTGGTGAGAGCGTCGGCCCTCACACTGAAGGGTCGTAGGTTTGCTTCCAGGTCTAAGACGCGTACTTGGGTTGCAGGTTCAATCCCTGGCCCCAGTAGGGGAACATGCAGGAGGCAACCACATCAATGTTTCTCTCTCTCTCTTCCCCTTCACTCCCTTCCACTCTCTCTAAATATCAGTGGAAAAAATATCCTCAGGTGAGGATTAACAACAAAATGGGTGTAGATTCGTGGCAATACTGCGCAAATAACGGATTTTATTTTTTGTGTGGATTGCACCTAAGCACTTGTCTTCATTCCATGGGAAATGTGTGTTCCTTTCTGCTCCTTCAAAGAGGGCCCTCCACTTGGTTTTCTCCAAGGTAATGTCTTTCAAAATAAGAAACCAACTCTTCGGGCAAATCACTGTCATCGGGAAGAAATGGTAGCTATTTGAAGACCACCACCAAGTCTACTTGTCACTGTATCAGAGAGCTAGCTAAGATTTATGTATACAGTCCCTCCTTATCCAATTTTGTTTCCCCGTGGTCCAAAATATTACATGGAAAATCCCAGAAATAAACTTATAAATTTTAAATTGTGCACCATTCTGAGTAGTGAATGAAATTTCATGCTGTCCTGCTCTGTCCCACAAGGCTGTGAATCATCCCTTTGTCCAGCATCTCCATGCTGGATAGACTCCTTGCCCATTTGTCACTTAGGAGCCATCTGAATTATCAGAGCCTGTTCTGGTATCGCAGTGCTTGTGTTCCAGTAGGCCTTATTTTACTTAAGAATGACCCCAAAGCACAAGAGTAGTGATGCTGGCAATTCGGATATGCCCAAGAGAAGCCATAAAGTGCTTCCTTTAGGTGAAAAGGTGAAAGTCCTCAACTTAATAAGAAATGAAGAAAAATCGTATGCTGAGGTTGCCAAGATGCCAAGATCTATGGTAAGAATGAATCTTCCCTGGCCAGTATTTCTCAGTGGTTAGAGCATCAACCCCCACACTGAAGGGTTTCAAGCTCAGTTCTCAGTCAGGGGCATGTACCTGGTCTGGGCACGTGCATGAGGGAATCTATCGATGTGTCTCTCTCATATCAATTTCTCTCCCTCCCTCCCTCTCTCCTTCCCTCTCTCTCTAAAATTCTCTCTCAAAAATATCCTCCGGTTATGAAAAAGGAAAAAGAAATTTGTGCTAATATCCCTAGCTGAGTAGCTCAGTTGGTTAGATCCTTGTCCCAATGCGCTGAGGTTGTGGATTCAATCCCTGGTCAGGGCACATACAAGAAGCAACCAAGGAATGCATATATGGGTGAAACAACAAATCGATGTTTCTCTCTTTCTCTAAAAATCAAAATAATTTTTAAAAAGAACTTTAAAAAAAGAGAAATTTATGCTAATTTTGCTGTTGCACCTCAAACTGCAAAAGTTATGGCCACAGTGCATAAGTGCTTAGTTAATTGTAAAAGGCATTACATTTGTGGGTGGAAGACATGAACAGGAAATGTGTTCCGACTGCTGACAATGTGTTGGGCCAGAAAGCTTTACGCCTATACAAAGACTTCAGAAGGGATCTCCTGAAATGAGTGACACCAAACCATTTACTGCAAGTAAGGGATAGTTATATAGGTTCAGGAATAGGTTTAGAATGAGAACTATAAAAATTACTAGAGAGAACCATATTCAGATAACTTGTATTGCAGTATATTGTTATAACTGTTCTATTTTTAGTTATTGTTCATCTCTTACTGTGTATAATTTATAAATTAAACTTTACCATAGGCAATTATAGGGTAAAACATCATATATATATACATATATATATATATATATATATATATATATATATATATATAACTGATTCAGTACTATCCTCGGTTTCAGGCATGCACTGGGGGGTCTTGGAATATATCCTCCTTGGATAAGGGGGGACTACTGTAATAGAAAAATGGGAGTAATTGTGAGAACTTTGTCAATGGAGAAATGAAACCAAACAAAACAAAAAAAACAACACCAAACTGTTAACCAGTTATTTTATCTTTTACAAGGCAAAATTGCCTGTGGCCAATCACCCTTTCTCCATCCACATCTTTGCATGACTCTCTCATGACTCAGGTCTCAGAGCAAACATCACCTCCTTAGAGAACCTTTCCCTGGAAAACAGACCTTTCGTTCTCCCTTCTAAGCCATTCTATTACACTGTTCTGTACTATTGACTTCATAGCACCTACCATTTTGGAATCATCTTATTTACATATTCATTTGTTAGCCCTGGTTGGGCAGGAACTGGCTTCTTTCATTGCTGAATCCTAGTCTCCAATATCACCGTGTACTTAGTACTTACTGAGTACGGGATCAGCCAGCATTAGCCATTATTTTCATTATTCCGTGCTCAGGGTTTGCTAAATAATGGCAGCTGCCATGTGGTCAGACTGGGAAGAAAACTCTCAAGTAGGAATTTTGAATCTGAAATCCATGAACTTAAACAGGAGAAAAAAAAATTACACCTATATTATCACTAGCCTCTGACTGCAATGTAACATTTTCATCGATTCTAAATGTTGACAACAAACCAGAGGCCTATTAGCAGTAGCTGGGACTTTATCACCAATAGAAATCACAGCTAGCCCTAACCGGTTTGGCTCAGTGGATAGAGCATCAGCCTGCGGACTCAAGGGTCCCAGGTTCGATTCTGGTCAAGGGCATGTACCTTTGTTGTGGGCACATACCCAGTAGGGAGTGTGCAGGAGGCAGCTGATCGATGTTTCTCTCTGATCGATGTTTCTAACTGTCTATCCCTCTCCCTTCCTCTTTATAAAAATCAATAAAATATATTTAAAAAAAAAAAGAAATCACAGCTATTTCCATATCCTGCTACAGTTGCTGCAGGTATTGTGAGATTATTTGTGCTATTGCATCTATGAAATCATGGTAGTTTTGGACCATTGTTCTTTAATGAGATAAAACAAAACAAAAAAAAGAAGGTGTGGCCCAGCCAGGTGTGGCTCAGTGGTGGAGTGTCGACCCAGGAACCAAGAGGTCACCGGTTTGATTCCCAGGTCAGGGCATATACCCAGGTTGTGGGCTTGATCCCCAGTGTGGAGCGTGCAGGAAGCAGCCAATCAATGATTCTCTCTCATCATTGATGTTTCTATCTCTCTCTCCCTTTCCCTTCCTCTCTGAAATCAATAAAAATATATTTAAAACTATTTTGATTATTATTTCAAAATTCAATGTAATTGTTGTCCTTTTTAAAATCCTATGTATTTTGTTTTATAGGTTTTAAAAACAGCATTAAGAGAAGGGTCCATAGGTTTCACCAGATGCCAAAGGGGTTCATGACACACATAAAAGGTAACCTAAAAGAGATGATGAGGCCTGTCCCTGACCCTTCTCTCAGCTGATATGCAGCCCACGAACAGAGGCTGAAGGGAGAAGCCCGGAAGAGCAGTGAGAACAAGGTTTCCAAAAGAGACCCCATAGCCTCTATTTCCTGTCTTATGTATAAAATCGTGATTTCTGCAGCAGCTTTGAGCAGAGACCTGTACAGAAAATGGGGAGCCCTCCGTTAGAAAGCCCTCTCTAAAAACAATAGAGCCCTGGCCACATAGCTCAGTTGGTTAGAGCGTCATCCTGATACACCAAGGTTGTGGGGTTGGTCAGGACACGTACAAGAATCAATCAATGAATGCATAACTGAGTGGAACAACAGACCTCTCTCTCTCTCCCCTTCCTCTCTCTAAACTCAATTAAAAATAATACTTAGAAGAACACCCAGCTTTCCCTCTGTCCTCCGCCTGACCGTGTGGCCTCCAGCTCACAAGAGTCCTTCAGGATACTTTTTGGTTAAAATTAAACTTCTCACCCAAAATGCTCTTCAAGGCTGAAGCAAGACACACTCTCTCCCTATGAATCTGGACTAGACAAGGGAGGGGGGGAATGACTTTTTTTTAAATAAATACTCTCTAATGATCCATTAAAACAAGAAACCTATCTGAAGTCACAGATTGTGGACAGGTGGGGTTCGTTCCAGGAAGTGGAGCACAGCACAATGTTCTGGTTTAAGTTTAAAGCCTGATTCTTATAAACCCAAAATGCACTCATGGGAGTGGGAGAAGTGAACAATATAGAAAGAAACACCATCTCCTGGATCCTTTCTAGAGCCTGTGGAAGGTGGGAGCAGCGAGCATCATGAGGCAATTTCTTGGCATCTCAGCCTGTGAATCATTGCTCTTATATAGGTTCACTGAAAGATCTCTAATTTGGGAGCAGAGCAGCAGAAGGGCCCCAAATTACCTTCAGCTTTGTCTTTCTTCTTTCACTTGGTGTTCCGTGAGCCTGAATGTTGGGTGTTGTCTCTGATAAGGCTCAGGATATCTAGGGTGGTTCATCTTCATGCTCATTACAGTAAGAATCTGCCCAAGATATTTGGGGGGTAGGGGTTGAGTTGAGGGAACCAGCTCAAAGAAAGAACGCATATCAGATTATTAATCAAAGAGAAACTAACAATGCAGAGGACAGAGAGGAAATGCCAAAGTTGCTGAGATGACAGTGTAATGTAATAGGTTCTTATGAGACAAGGATAGGGGGCTGTGCATGGAATATCTCTGGAAGGCAGTACTGGAAGGTGCTAACAGTGAGTGGCCCTGGCAAGAGGGGAGGAGCTTGGGTTGTAGGATGGAACCTGACTTTTCTATTACACAACTTTTATACCATTTAAATTTTGTACTATGTGTACATATTATTAATTTAAAAGTTATTGTCTACAACCCTGGCTGGTGTGGCTTAGTTGGTTGGGCATCGTCCAGTGCACCAAAAGGTAGTTGGTTTGATTCCCAGTCAGGACACATGCTCAGATTGTGGGCTCAGAGGCCGATGTGTGTGTGTGTCTCTCTCTCTCTCTCTCTCTCTCTCTCTCTCTCTCTCTCTCTCTATATATATATATATATATATATATATATATATCGCTGATGTCTCTCTCTCTCTCTCTCAAATCAATAAAAAGTATTTTTAAAATTAAGTTATTATTTACAGTCCCAGAAGGTTTTGTAGGAATGTGGCAGATGCTTAATAAGCAAACAGGCTAAACCACTGTGCTGTTTAAGGAACCAGCATTTATGGAGTGCCTACTGTGTGCCAAGGGCCCTTTGGCAATGCCCGTTTGACTGATCTTAGGAAGGAGCCGAGTGGGGACTCCTTTCAGGTCTGCTGGAAGCCAGCACTCTGCTCCTCAGCAAGGTCCACACCGCCTTCCTCCCTGGAGTGAGCAGTTGGAGGCACCAGATGCTCTGGCAGGATCCAGAGAGATGCCATCTGTCAGGGAAACCTATTCTTAGAGAGCAGAGACAGTCGGTGGCAGAGCTGGCCAACCCCCAGTGGCAGTGGGGGGATGTGGGGAGGGCAGGCAGCCAAGGCTTTACCTTCAGCTGGCGGGCAGGACAGGCTGAAAGCAGGGTCTACTCAGTTCTCAGGACCACGCTTCCTTCTATGTTTGAACACTATTAGAAATAACAGCAAACATTTACCGAGTGCTTACTTTATGTGTCACATTTAATCCTCCAGATCACCCTATAGAACACCTTCTTTACAGATGATGAAACACAGGTACAGAATAGTTAAATCACTTGCCCTAGGAAACAACAGAATCAGAGCTGAGCCCAGACATTGGCTACAAAGCCTATGTCCCCAACCACCATGTTTTACTACCTCTCAACCTGCTATACCAGAGGCCAATTTTCGTTTGGGTTCTCCGACAGCAGACCCCAAGACAAGAATTTGAGTGCAAGTGGGTTACATCGGAAGTGGTCCCAGGAAGCACTGGTAGGGGCATGAGGAAGGGAGGCAGGAAAGGAGGTGTTATTGAGCAAGTGACCACGGTGGACAAGAGGAGCTCAGTGCTGCTGGGGGGCCCTGAGAGCCAGAGTGCAGCATGCCTACTGGGCGAGGGGAGTGGGAGTGGGGCTGTTTATCAGGCACTGATTGAGAGCTGTGCCCTGGATGCGTTAATCCCCCAGCACTGCAGGTCTGCTGCAGGGTGGCAAAGCAGGTGCCAGTGGCAAGTGATGCCCTCAGGCAGAAAGACACAGGGGTGGCTGTTGGAAAAGCTGCTGGTGTGCACTTACATGGTAAACTAGAAGAGATATGGGGAGGGCCCCCCTACATCTGCCATAAAACCCACTTGCTGATGATGACCCCCTCCTCTCCCATAACCTTAGGATCTCAGTCACCCTCCACAGAATGAACTAAGGGACCTTCAAGATCACTTTCTCCAGGTTGGCAGTACAACATCGTAGCTGAGAACACAGCTGTTAGAATCAGACCTAATCCCTGCTCTGTTACCTAACAGCTCAGCTCTGTTTAGTTCAGTTTCCACATGTGTCACATGGGATAGCAGTTGGCCCCATATCATCCCCTACTACTTTGCTACTCAAGGTGTGGCTCAGACCAGCAGCAGCAGCAGCAGCACCTGGGCGTCTGAGAGACAGGCAGAATATTCAGGCCCCACCCCAAACCCACTGAATCAGAATTTGCATTTTAATAAGATCTCCAGTGACTCATGTGTACATTTCTACTAGTAAGTTCTAAAATATAAAGAGACTGAGATATTCCTATTAGGCCAAGGGACTCCAATTAGTGGGTCACGGACCAAATCTTCCTGGAGACCCAATTAGTGGGTCACGGACCAAATCTTCCTGGAGACCTGATTGATTCGTCCAGCTTGGTTTTAAAATATCGGACTGGCACAGGCGTCTCCAGTTCACCACGTCCCCATCAGTCCCTACTACATAGCACCCAGAACATGATCATTTATGCCACCGTCAGGCCCCTGTAGGCATTTGAGTTTGTGTCCCCTTCTGAAACAGACCCTAGAACTAGCTAACATTTGCATAGCTTAGCTTAGGTTCCTAAATTTAAAGTAAGGCACTTAAAAACACATAGGCTTTGAAATCAGATAAATCTGGGTTCAAACCCTGATAGGGCTACCATACTAACTGTATATCTTGAGCAAGTTACTTCCCTTCTCTGATTCTGTTTCCACATCTGTAGAATGAAAATCAAAATACAGACCTGTAAGGTCATTGTACGGATTTAAAAAGTATGTGCAAAGCACCCAGGAGGAAGTAGGAGCTCATTAAATGATTAGTGTGGGTAGCAGCAGTTGTAGTTATTCAAGTCCAACATGGACACCGGGTATTATTACAATTATTCTCATTTTACAAGAAACTGAGGCTCTGGGAGGTCACGAACCTTCCTCAAAATTACACAGTGATTGCCAAAACCGGTTTGGCTCAGTGGATAGAGCGTCGGCCTGCGGACTGAAGGGTCCCAGGTTCGATTCCGGTCAAGGGCATGTACCTGGGTTGCGGGCACATCCCCAGTGGGAGATGTGCAGGAGGTGGCTGATCGATGTTTCTCTCTCATCGATGTTTCTAACTCTCTTTCTCCCTTCCTCTCTGTAAAAAATCAATAAAATATATTTTTTAAAAAAATTACACAGTGATGGAGTGGGGACTCCAACCCATGTCCTCTGGCTCTTTATCTGCAATGCCCACTAGAATTTTCTGTGATGATAGAAGTGTTTTATATCTGTACAGTCCAATACAGCCACGACTAGCCACATGTGGCTACTTACTGAGCCTTGAAATGTGACTGGTCTAAATTGAGGCGTGCTGTAAATGTAAAACAAATACTTGATTTTGATGACTCTGCATAAGAAAAAGGAATATAAAAGACCTTATTTTCATAGTAATTACAGGTTGAAATGATAATATTTTAGAAATTTGGGCTAAAATATATCAAGATTAATCTCATCTGCTTCTTCCCACTTTTTTTTAATGTGGCTACTAGAAAAATTTCAATTACATATATGACTGTCATTATGTTTCTATTGGACAGTGAAACTCTAGAGCTTCTCCAATAGAACACTCGAGAAAAGGAACTTAATATTTTGTAAAAACATATTTGCAAACCCACTGCCCACCAGCATAAGAACAAAGAACATACCCACCAGAAAGAGATTTCAGGGCCCTCCTCTGAGCTCCATGACCCCTGAGGCCTAGAGAGAAGGGTGACTTTCCCAGGTCTCACAGAAGTGAGCAATACGCTGGAACCATGCCTTAGGTTCCTCAGCCTGACTCAGCCTCTTATTCCACCATTCAAGAGTACCTAATGAGATTGGAAAATTGGTGCTTCTGCTTTGGACAATGGAACCCTGGGTTAATGAAAGTTGGAGTCTGAGAGCCATGATCTTGAGAAAGCAGGATCCTCTGGGAGGTTTCACTGATGGAGCCAATCTCAAGCCACAACTGGACACCGCCCAGAGCCTACTCAGGTAGAAGCCCCCATAAGCACCTCAGGGCTATGTTACTCTGAGGGACGGCTCTTGTTGTAGATGAGGAAGTCCGAGATGTCATGCCACACATTGCTGTCCTCGTACAGGTAGGTCATAGAGGACTGCAGTGAGGGCTGCAGCGTGGGCCGGTGGTATTCAAAGAGCCACAGCACCAGCCCCCACACTAACGCGGTGAACAATGGGAATGGGTCCCACTTGGGTTCGGGAATGTAGCCCTTCTCCACTCCCAGGCGGCACAGGGCAAATAGGACGCGTGACAGCAGGTACATGTTGATCTGCAGGGAGGGAATGACAGGGGATTACAGGTGTGCACAGCCACTGGGAACCTTCTGCCCACCCCCATGCATGGATCGGTGTTTTTCAAAGTTGGTGTGCAAGATGAAGTGGTATCAGACATTTTAATAGTACTATATTATTTATTTTTTTAAGGTTGTTACCCCACTTTATTTTTAAAAAATAATTCTTTATTGCTGAAAGTATTACATATGTTCCCCTTTTCCCCCCATTGACCCCCTCCAGCCTACACCCCCCGCCACCCCTAGTCTTTAGCACCCTATTGTCTGTGTCCATGGGTTATGCATATCTATAATAATAAAAGCGTAATATGCTAATTAGACCGGACATCCTTCCGGATGACCTTCCAGACGAAGCCGGGGCTGTGAGGGAAGCCAGTGCCGGCAGCTTGGGGAAGGAAGGCCTACTCTTGCAGAAATTTCGTGCATCGGGCCTCTAGTATGTATATAAGGTCTTTGGTTGATTACCTCCCACCCACCCACCCTCCCTATGAGATTCTGCATTCTGTTCCATGCTTCCATGTCTTTGGATCCACTCCATTCATCAGTTTATTCTGTTACTTAGATTCCATATGAGTGTGATCATGTGATACTTATCTTCCTCTGACTGACTTATTTCACTTAGCATGCTGTCTCAAAGGGTAAGAGATTCTTCTTTTTTTACTGCTGCATAGTATTCCATGGTATAAATGTACCACAACTTGTTTATCCACTCATCTACTGATGGGCACTTGGGCTGTTTCCAGATCTTAGCTATTGTAAATTGTGCCGCTATGAGCATAGGGGTGCATACATTCTTTATGATTGGTGTTTCGGGTTTTTTAGGATATATTCCTAGAGGTGGAATCTACTGGGTCAAATGGCAGTTCCAGATTTAATTTTCTGAGGAAACTCCATACTGTTTTCCATAATGGCTGCACCAGTCTGCATTCCCACCAACAGTGTACTAGGGTTCCTTTTCTCCACATCCTCGCCAGCACTTGTCATTTATTGATTTGTTGATGTCTGAGATTTTGCTGCCTATGATTTCTTCTAGGATTTTTATGGTTTTACAACTTACATTTAAAAGTCTTTTATCCATTTTGAGTTTATTCTGTGTATGGTATAAGTTGGTGGTCTAGTTTCGTTTTTTGCATGTATCTGTCCAATTTTCCCAACACCACTCTCTTAACTCCATTGTATGCTCTTACCTCCTTTGTCAAATATTAATTGAGTGTAATGGCTTGGGTCGATTTCTGGGTTCTCTGTTCTGTTCCATTGATATATATGCCTGTTCTTGTGCTAATACCAGGCTGTTTTGATTACGGTGGCTTTGTAGTATAACTTGAAATTTGGTATTGTGATTCCTCCAACTTTATTTTTCTTTTTCAAAATTGCTGCAGCTATTTGTGGTTTTTTTGATTCCATATAAATTTTTGGAGTATTTGTTCTAACTCTGTGAACTATGCCATTGGTATTTTAATAGAGATTGCACTGAATCTGTAGATTGCCTTGGTAGTACAGACATTTTAAATAGTACTATTTTATATCTTTATCATTATTTATTTAAAATTTTTAAATTAATATACTTAGATGGTTCAAAACTAAAAAGTAACTTGACACCAAAAAAATTCATAAAAAATTTTTGATAAACTGGATCTCATCAAAATTAATTATTATTTTTTGTTATGAAAGCCCATGTGAAGAGGCCAAAAAGAAAAGCTATAGACTGGGATAAAGTATTTACAAAAAAAAAAAATCTGATAAAGACTACTATCTGGAATATATTTTTTAAAAACTCAAAACTCAACAGTAAAAAAAAAAAATCCAATTAGTAAATGGTCAAAAGACATGAACAGATACTTCACCGAACAGGTTATACAGATGGAAAATAAGCACATGTAACGCTGTTTAACATCATTAGACATCAGGGAAATGCAAATTTAAAATCACAAATGAGACGGCACTTCACACCTATCAAAATGGCTAACATTAAAAAATATATGTGATAAACCAAATACTGGCTAGGATGCAGAGGAACTGAGTCACCTGCATATATTCCTGATGGGAATGTACAATAGTACAGTCACTGTGGAAAATAGTTTGCGAGTTTCTTATAAAACTAAACATGCATGTACCATTTGACCCAGCAACTGTACTCTTGGGCATTTATCCCAGAGAAATGAAAACTAATGCTCACTCAAAAACGTGTACAAGAATGTTCTTAGCAGCTGTATTCCTAACAGCCAAAAGTTGGAAACAACTCCCATGTCCTTCTGGGGATAAATGTTTAAACAAACTGTGGTACATCCATGCAATGGAACACCACTCAGCAATAAAAATAAATGAACTACTGACAGACTCAACAACTTGGATGAATCTCCAGTGAATTACGCCGAGTGAAAAAAGCCAATCCCAAAGGCTGCATACTGTAATGACTCCACTTATATAATACTGTTGAAATGAGAAGATTTTAGAAATAGAGGTCAGAGTAATTATTGCCAGGGATCAAGGAAAAGAGGGGAGGGGGAAGGAGATGGTGTGACCAGGATTCTTAGCCTTTGGATGTGAAATTTCTAACAAATATAAAACCGAGAAAATTTTCTCAAAACACAAAACGCTCACATGCACAGACTCCATAATTCCATGTCTAGGAACTTTTGGACAGACTGACACATATGCAGGAAGAGGTCCAAACAAAGATGTAGACTGCATGTGTGTAATGGCAAAAGGCTACAGACCCCTTAAATGCCCATTGAGAGGAGATTAGTAAAATCAAGCCTGGTCCATCCATCCACCCAGCAGTGGAGGGCTCTGATATTAAAAAGGCTGAAGGACTGACAAGAAGGGTCTCCAAGATACATCATCCCATGGAAAAAAAAAAAAAAGCAGTACAATCTCATTGGTGGAAAACTCCTGATATGTACACTGAAACAAGCACCAACAATTTCTGAAGGGCTACACAGGACACAATTAAAATGACTGTCCCAGAACAGTGGCTTGACAATTGGAGGAGGATGGAAACTTTCTTTTCAATTTATTTTCTACTTTATTATCATGTATCCCAAGCACCTAGACATATGCCAGGCACATAGAGGCTGTTTAATCTGTTTTTAAAATGTGAAAATAAAACTTTTTGTAATTTAAAAATATTTAATAAGCCCTGGCCTGTGTGCTCAGCGGTTAGAGCATTGACCCATGAACCAAGAGGTCACCAATTCAATTCCTGGTCAGGGCACATGCCTGGGTTGCAGGCTCGATCCCCTGTAGAGGGTATGCAGGAGGCAGCCGACCAATGATGTTTCTCTTTCATCGATGTTTCTATCTCTCTATTCCTCTCCCTTCCTCTCTCCCTCAAAATCAATAAAAACATATTTAAAAATAAATAAAATAGAAATCTTGATTTTTTTTTAAAAAGGTGGCAAGCTCAATTCCCGGTCTGGGTACATGCCCAGGTTGCAGATTTGATCCCTGGTTTGGGGAGCGTGCGAGAGGCAACTGATTAATGTTTCTCTTTCTCTCTCTCCGCCCCCCCTTCCTCTCTCTGAAATCAATAAAAGTAAAAAATAAATAGAACTTTAACCCAGAAAAGGGCAAGTTACAGAATAAGAGGCAATTCTTTAATAAATATTGTTTTATGAAAATCATATTCCAGGGTCATTTTTCTTTTTTCTCATTTCACTGCAATGATTTTCTTTAAAAAAAATAAAAACATCTTTGCCCCCAGAGAGCAGTACACATTGATTTTGGGAATCATAAAATTCCAATAAGCTGCTTGATTTACAGACGAGGAAACTGAGGGAGAGGTGACCTTCCCAAGACCACAGAGGGACTGGTGACTCACAGAGCCTCAGACTGGGAAGGGAGCCAAGAGCTCATCTTCTTTGACCCCCCGACCCCCAACTCATACCTGAGCCATATCCCACCCCGAACCCAGCCAGCCCACACACATTCCTGGGGAGGATCTTTACCTGGCTGTTGATGTTATTGTTCTCTCTAAACACCAGCAAGCCCCCAAGGAAGCCAGCCAGGAACGAGTGCACCGGGTGGGTCTCTCCCTGCAGGTGGGACTGCAGGGCACAGAGGCCCTTGTAGGTGAACACGAAGCAGGCCAGGTTAGAAGAGTGGGTGTACGTGGCCTTCAGGATGGCCCGAAGCTTCTCCCGGAGGCTGCACAAAATTAGGGAATTACCATGAGCGCAGGCCCAGCCCTTTGGAGGGCATTCACCCACTGGGCATGCAAAACTAAACCACACAAGGAGCTCAGGGCCTCTAACATCCATGTCCTGAGGGCTGCTGGCATCCTTGATTCAGGCCTTAACTTCATGCCACTTCCTCAGAGAGTCTTTCCCCGAACACCCTACATAAAAGAATGCCCATCACATCTGTCCCCTTACCCTTTTTTTTTTTCCTTCATAGGTCTTATTGCCACCTGACTTGTATATGCTTGTTTATTATCTCCCCCACTCCCACCCCATCGCAGTGGAAGGTACCAGAGAGTGGTATCTACAACTGACTTGTTCATCCTTAGGGCCCAGAACAGGGTCTGACAAAGAGTAGGTGCTCAATAAATATTTTTTTTTGGAGTGAACATGAGGAGAAATAAATGAATGAGGGAGTTAGTGCCTACTGTGTGCTGGATCTGGGAATACAATTCTGGGGGGAAAAGATCTGCTTGCTGCCCTCATGAGGTTTATGATCTAATCAGAGAGGGAAATATAATCACAAAGCAAGGGTCAAACTTTGACCCTGACAAGAGATAATCGTGGGATCTGAAGGATGAGGAATCAGTGTGGTCAAGAGGGGAGAGGAGTTGCATCCCAGGCAGAGGGATCAGCAAAGACCCTGAGGAGGGACAGGGAGTGGGGAGTAAAGGAACAGAGAAAAATCTGAGCAGAGAATGTGTGGGCAAAGGATGTAGGGTAGCAGGTAAGGCCATACTAAGTTTTCTCTTCATCCTGAGAGAAACAAACATTTAAGTAGTGTAGGTAGTTGATTTATCCTTTAAAATTAAATCACTCGGAACCTGTCTGGGTAGCTCAGTTGGTTAGAATGTTGTCTAAGATTGTGGGTTCAATCCCTGGTCAGGGCACATACAAGAATCAACCAATGAATGCATAAATAAGTGGAACAAGAACACTCAAAAAGAAAAAATCACATGTTATAATGCGTTTTGACTTCTTGTTAGAAGTAAGACAACACAAGTTTTCAGGAGACCTAAAATTGTTTTGATTTTTTTTTTCTGTGTTCTTGTAATGGTAGCATTTTTCAAAAATTAAAAAAACTAAATGAAAAATAAGTAGAACAACAGCCCTAGCTGGCATGGCTCCGTTGGTTAGGCATCGTCCAGTGCACCAAAAGGTTGCCAGTTTTATTCCTGGTCAGGACTCAATGCCCAGTAGTGGGGTTGCAGGAGGCAGCCAATCAATGCTTTGCTCTCACATCAATGTTTCTCTCTCTCTCTCTCCCTCTACCTTCCTCTCTCTCTAAAAATCAATTTTTAAAAAATGAGTGTCCTGGCAACGGTGGCTCAATGGTTGAGCGTCGACCTATGAACCAGGAGGTCACAGTTTGACATGCCCGAGTTGCAGGCTTGGTCCCCAGTGAGGCACATGCAGGAAGCAGCTGATCAATGGTTCTCTCTAATCATTGATGTTTCTCTCTCTCTCTCTCTCTCTCTCCCCCTTCCTCTCTGAAATCAATAAAAAATGTATATATTTTTAAAATGAGTGGAACCACAAATCAATGTCTCTCTCCCTCTGTCTCTTTTCCTCTCTCTCTCTAAAATCAATAAAAATTTAAAAAATAAATTAAGTTAAATCATTTGGGGGCAGTGGGAAAAACACAGGGAGGAGTACAGAGTGTACTCTGGGAGATCAATTCAGGAATGGTAAACCCAAGTGTCCTCAAAGCTAAATGAGGACCTTGGAGTGGGTCTACTAACATTGTGGAAATCTGTCAGGTGAGTGGACATAGCCAGAAATCAGCTGGCTCTTGCCCCATAGGAACATGGGCCCAGTGTTGCCAATTCTAAGACAAGTTAGATTTCCCAGTTTTTAAGTGTTAACACTTCAAATTGTTTCTAGAATCTGACCATTTCTAATCTCCACTGCCATCAGTGTTACTCGCCTGCATTATTGCCACAGCCTCCTTTTTTACACTTACTTCTGCCCTTGGCACCCTCACCCATCTGTTCTTAATCTGGCAGCAAACTCTTCACTCTCACTGTACCAAAAGATAGGGCAGATAGTACCATATCCCTGCAAAAGAGCTTACAACTTCCTGTTTCACGTAAAGGAAAAGCCAAACTCCTCTTTAAAGTTGGACAGAATGGGCCCAGGTTACCTTCCTCTTTGTTCTCTCCCCGTCAACCCCTCCCCTCCAGCGTCCTCAGATTCACCAGGCACGACCTCACCTCAGGGACTCTGCACTGGCTATTCCCTTGGCCTGGAACACTTTCGCCTAATGCCCATGTGGCCAACTCTTTTACCTCCTTAAAGTCTTCACTCGAACGTGACTTTCTCTCTGAGCCCTTCCCTATTTAATTCTGCAGCCTGCCTTTCCTACAGCACTCCTGATCCCCATTCTCTCTTTCCTTGTTCTACTTCCCACAGCCCATGTCACCTATCCACACATACTCTCCTTATTGATTATGTTTTTTCTTCTGCCACCTCCTGCTAGAAGGCAGCTCTGTGAGGGCAGTGAACATTGTTTTGTTCACTGCTGTATCCCAGCATCTAAAACAGTCTGATCCACAGCAGATACTCAATAAATATCTACTGAATGAATGACTGAGCTCAATTGAAAAAAAAAAAAAATGAATCAGAGCACAAAAAAACAAACCAAACACAAATAAATTTTAGAAGTAAAAATACAAAAAGAGAAAATCTTGTTGTGGCCCCACCCCATAACAAAGAAACAGAATTTCCGGAGGATGAGGCCAGAAATCAGGATTTTAAAAAGATTCCCAGGTGATTCTAATGTGCAGCCAAGGTTGAGAACCACTGCCCTAGCCAGTTTGGCTCAGTGGATAGAGCGTTGGCCTGTAGACTAATGGGTCCCAGGTTTGATTCTGGCCAAGGGCACATGCCTGGGTTGCGGTCTCGAACCCTGTCTCTCCCCCCGAGTAGGGTATGTGCAGGAGGCAGCCAATCAATGATTCTCTCTCATCATTGATGTTTCTATCTCTCTAGCTCTCTCCCTTCCCCTCTGAAATCAATAAAAAAATATATATATTTTTAAAAAGCCAAGAGCTTTCTTTTTTTAAAAAATATATTTTATTGATTTTTTTTACAGAGAGGAAGGGAGAGGGATAGAGAGTTAGAAACATCAATGAGAGAGAAACATCGATCAGCTGCCTCCTGCACACTCCCTACTGGGGATGTGCCCACAACCAAGGTACATGCCCTTGACCGGAATCGAACCTGGGACCCCTGAGTCCCCAGGCTGACGCTCTATCCAAACCGGTTAGGGCGCCAGGAGCTTTCTTTAAAAAAAAAACTAGATCACAAGCTGGTTTCAGAGAAATGCCTTGAGGGAAGACTTGAGATATCAGAGGAAGACCAAGAAGTCTGAGCAAAGGGAGGTCATGAGAAAGTGATCCTCAGAGAACTGGGTTGCTTGGAAGGAAATAAAGGTGGGGTTGAAGAGGAAAGGGAACTCCTGGCAGGGGGGTACTGCATGAGCAAACATATGGATAGAACCACATGTGGCATGTGCATGGAACGACAGCAAGTCCTGTGTGCCAAAGGCACCCCAGAGTGAACATGGGAGAATAGGGTGGGATGCAACGGAGATCAAACTGCAGAGGGTCTGAAGGCCACACCTGGAAGTTGGGCTTCTTTGGAGGGAGTGGGATCCAGGGGAGGTTTCCAGCAGTGACAGTAGAATCAGAGTTGTACTCTAGGAGGTGGGTGTGGGGACAGGCTACCAGGGGTGGGCAAACTTTTTGACTCGAGGGCCACAATGCGTTCTTAAACTGGACCGGAGGGCCGGAACAAAAGCATGGATGGAGTGTTTGTGTGAACTAATATAAATTCAAAGTAAACATCATTACATAAAAGGGTACGGTCTTTTTTTTTTTTTTTTAGTTTTATTCATTTCAAACGGGCCGGATCCGGCCCGCGGGCCGTAGTTTGCCCACGGCTGGCTAGACCCAGCTAGGAAGCTACTGCAACAGCCCTGGCACTGAGGCCTGACCACATTTTCTCCCAGTTTAAAGGGTGTGCAGATGGGGGTGGGTACCTGCCACTCCGGAAGAGAAAGGTCATGACCAGTGCATGAGGGGCCCGGATTTTGGCTCCATAGCTGTAAAAACAAAAGAAAACAGTTACTATAGCATCACTGTATTAATGTTTTTCTGGGCTATTTCTTTGATCCCCTTCCCCCCCCTCCCCCTCCCCCTAATCCTAACCTCATTTTAGGAAGGGAAATAATGCTAGCTTTTGAGTTAGGTCTAGGTTCAAAGTGGTTCATAGAAAGGAAATAGTACTTGGTGTCCAAGTCCTGCCACATTTTGCTGTTAAACTTGGATAAATGACTTAACCTCTCAAAGCTGCCCTGTTCTCATCAGTAAAAAAGTATTCTCCATTTCAGAGTTGCTTCTGGCAGGTAAGGACATAGCACATGTGAAAGTTCCTAGTTCCCCAAATGTTAATATCTCTTTCTTTCTTGTTCTTCTTTATTGGACTCGCCTTTCCCTCACCAAGTTCTCCAACTGCCAGGCTCTGATCTGACCAGGCTACACGCTGTAAAAATCCATAGCATCCTCCTTGAAACAATGGTCATGAGCCATATATTGTTGTCATATGAGTATTTGTGAATGTTCACTATAGGCTTGTTTGAAATAGCCAAAGACTGGAAGCAAACCGGGGGTCTCTCTGCAGGGGGTGTTACTGGATAATAAATAACGCTCTATCCATTCAGTAGAATACTAAACAGCAGTAAAAGAATGAGGCGGCTTGCCCAGCAGGTGTGGCTCAGTGGTTGAGTGTCAACCCACGAATCAGGTCACAGTTCGATTCCCCCCAACCCCCCCGTCAGGGCACATGCCCGGGTTGCGGGCTTAATCTCCAGTAGAGGGCATGCAGGAGGTAGCTGATAGATCAGTGATGGCGAACCTTTTGAGCTCGGCATGTCAGCATTTTGAAAAACCCTAACTTAACTCTGGTGCAGTATCACATATAGAAAATTTTCGATATTTGCAACCATAGTAAAACAAAGACTTATATTTTTGATATTTATTTTATATATTTAAATGCCATTTAACAAAGAAAAAATCAACCAAAAAAATGAGTGACACGCGTGTCATAGGTTCGCCATCACTGTGATAGATGATTCTCATCATTGATGTTTCTATCTCTCCCTCTCTCTTCTTCTATGAAATAAAGAAAAAAATATTTTAAAAAAATGAGGTGGCTTTATGTGCACTGCAGGGTTTTACCAGAGCAAGGTGTGTAACATGTAAAAGTGTGTAAAACAAGAAAATTCTTCTATAAATCTAAGCGTATTTCAAAATAAAACTTGTTTAAAAGGTATGGGAGGAGAATGTATGGATTTGTCTATGTAGACAATATTTATGGAGGGAGACATGAGGCTACACACAGAGGCCACCGACAGGGAGGGGGCCTATGTGACAGGATAGGGTGGGCAGAACTTCCTAGCATTTAACTTTTTATGGCTTTTCTGAATGTTATGTCATTTAAAAAAATAAACTAACAAAATGAAAATGTTAACAAGTTAAAGCCTCTCTTTTCCCCTGCCTTGCAGTGGGCAGGACACCCATCCTGGCCCCAGAAAGCTCTTTGCCCCGCCTCATCCAAAGCGATCTCTTTCTCTCCTGAAGAAGGAAGCCCTCAGCCTCCTCCAGGTGACCAGGGCTAAAAGGCCCCTTCCTTATGCCCCAGACACAAGCAGAACAGTGCCCGCAACTCCCTAAATCTGCCAAGCCCCCTTCCCAAAGTCTTCAAAACAGGGGGAGCTGGTTACTACTGTTCACAGGGTTACTCTGTGTCCTGAAAGAAGGGATGCCCTAGATTTAAAAGGACTTAAAGGACATAAGGGCACAGGTGTGATGTGATGTCCTGGAGGATCTGGTCTGGATCAAGGCTGGAGAATATCTGGGAGACAACTGAAACGATTTGACTATTGGCTGGACAGGAGTCTACATTATAGGATTACTATTAACTTCCTAAATGCAATCATGACAATTCAGCCATATAAGAAAATGCTCTTATTTGTAGAGATGCACATTGATATATTTAGGCTTGGAACATCAAACTGAGTTAAATTTTACAAAGTCCCCATGTCTCAGTCATCCAGGACTGTCTCCCTGGATGGATGGCCTTTCTTCACAAACAGCACATTCTTTTCCACCTCCAGGCATTTGTTCAAACCATTCCTTCTACCTGGGGTGCCCTTCTCCCCCTGGCAAACTCCAACTCAGCCTTCAAAATATCAGCATCATCTCTTCTGTACAGCTCTCCAATCACCTGGCACTGCCATGACAGTTTAAAGATCAGCCTGCCCGTTGGACTCCAGATCCTTCTGGATGGGCATGGTGTCTTAGCTAACCAGTATAATGAGATCACTGCTTAGAAAAACCCCTGTAGAGGTGAATTTGTTTCCATTTTACAGGGGAGGAAACTGAGGCCAGAAGAGATGAAGGGCACCCAGCTTTGAAATGAAGGAACTGGGATTTGAGCCCAAGGGCTTGACCTTAGCAATGCCTTCCCTGGCTGGGAAGGTTCCTGAGATCACAGGAAGAGTTGAGTGGGAGCAGGTGTACAAAGCCAGCATTGGGCAATACCTGCTGGTACCAGGGCTTGTGTGACTCCTATTAACTCTTGCTTAGTCCTAAGAATATCTTGGCAAAGGGAAACTGATGTTATCTCAGGGTCCATTCCACCCTCGTCACACCAAGGCATGGCTCAGCAGGAATCAACTTCTACCTGAAACTCTGGGTGCCCAAGGAAGTCAGGAGCCTGGTCTTGGGCATCCTTGGGTTTAAATCCTGGCTTGGAACCTGACTAAGTGACACAATCAAGAGCAATGAATTTACCTCTCTGAGCCACAGTCTTCTCATCTGGAAAATGGGGACAATGACAATTCTTACCTTGCACACTTACTCATTCATTCAATAAATATTTGAAAGTCTACTATGTACCAGGTACTAAGAATATACCAAAGGACAAAGTAGATAAAAATTTCTGTCCCCATGAAGCTTACTTTCTAGTGAGAGACAGAGTATAAAAACAGGATACATGCCCAGCTGGCGTGGCTCAGTGGTTGAGCGTCGATCTAGGAAACAGGAGGTCATGGTTCAATTCCCAGTCAGGGTACATTACATACCTGGGTTATGGGCTCAATCCCCAGTGTGGGGCATGCAGGAGGCAGCCAATCAATGATTCTCTCTCATCATGATGTTTCTCTCTCTCTCTCACTTTCTCTGAAATCAATAAAAAATATTAAGAAAAAATACAACAGGATACATGAGTGAACTACTGAGTGTTAGATGGTGACAAGTACTATGGAGAAAAATTATGTAGGGAAGAAGGTAGGGAGTTCAGGGATGGCCTCACTGAGGAGGTGACACAAACAGAGGCCTGAAAAAGGTGAGGAAAGTGAGTCAGGCAGAATCCATGTGAATATAACAATAACAGCAGCCAACAGTAATACATGTATATAAGGCATTGTGCTAAGCATTACATACATAAGCATTACATACATATTGACTCAATTCTCTGACAGTGTAAGTCCTATTATCATCCCTATTTTATAGAAATTGAGGCTAAATAACTTGCTCAAGATCACACAGATAGGTGGCACCAAGATTCAAACTGAGGCCATCCACATCCTTATCACCAGGCCAGGCTGCCACTAGGATGCCAACTCCAGGAGGATAGAGATCTTTGTTCAGTTTGTTCTCTGCTGCATTCCCAGTTCTAGCACAATAGGCTCTCAATAAATGACAGCTGTTATGCATGAGGTTAAAGGAGGCCGAGCTCCCCTCCAAGAACAGGCAGTGGAAATTACCCCAAGACCTCTTCTGCAGGACTGATAGCCAGGGTGGAATCAATCTGCCCAGCAAGTACTGTATTTGCAACTTTTTAAAACATTTGCTGTCACTCCTGAGGCTTATGACCCTGGAGTCCCTGTGCTAGATGGGGATTTACCGCTAGAGTTATGCAGATGGGGAGTGAGAAACGGGGTGTGAGCCCAAGGCCAGGTTAATGGGGGAGGCGGGGTAGCGGGAGCATAGGCAGAGGTCTGCTGGAGGCCAGCTTCCCTTTGTGCAGATGGGGCCACTGAAGCCAGAGAGGCCCAAGGGCACACAGCGGAGGGGGAGGGAAAGGGAGAAACTAGACTTTAAAGCAGGGAATACAGAGACTGGCGTGGGAGGTGGTCAAGGCGAGAGAACCAGGCTGCAAAGCACGAAGGACCCAGAAAAAAGCATAGTGGGATCTCCGGCTCAGAAGGCGCGCGGGAGCCAGAATCCAGCGCCCACAGCAGATGGTGGACACGGACACTGAGACCTACAGACACACTACGGCTGCTCAAGGGCACACAGCGCAGCGACGCCAGGCCGGGAACCCGCGCCGCTGACCCGAGCCAGGCCCGTCCCCGAGCCCCCGCCGGACCTAGGCCCACTCACACTGCTCCGTTCCGGAAGCCTTTAATCACGGCCAACGCAGTGTGGTACCGACGCTTGCGCAACAGCGCGTTCACAGCCAGGAGCAGACCTCGCAGCTGCGGCGGGGCGGCCATAGCGAGGGTATCACTCGGGGGTGGAACGCTGAGTCCGACGCGCACTGACAGCCCGGCTTCCGGGGGCACAGCCCTCACCTACACGCAGCTCGGGGCCGCGCCTCCGCATCTTCACGACCATAGGCTGTGCCTTCTGTCACTCAGATATGAAGACCCAGACATAGGGCACACGCACCGCACAAGACTCACGCACTCTCCCGAGTAGAAGTCTGATTGGAAGAAAGGGAGAGCTTGTAACCAATCACAGTGGGCTCCGCCCGACTGGACCTAAGGCATGTTAGAAACGCTACTGGATTTGTCCAATCAGAAAGCATGTTCCTTTGGATTTGGAAGGAGGTGTGTCACCTGTAAGTTTCCAAAGTTTCGAAAGAGGGGCCGCCCGTCCCGAGAGTCGGAATGGTGACACTGGGAGGAGCCAGCTTTACACAACATGACAGTTTTAATTGAGTAACAGTGATCCTAGCGATCTTCTCTGAGCATAAATCACTTGGCACCACCAATCTCTTCCATTTGTTTTTCAAATCCGAACTCCTTCCTGTTAGGGTGAACTACCCCTAATCTCTCCTGCTTGGACATGTTTTCTGAAATATATATTGCTATAAGCCTTTTCCCTAGCTTGGGGCAGACGGACGGCACCTGCAGAAGCAAGATAAGAACTCCTCTCCGCCTGACTGACCTGTGCACTCTCCTCCCTTGCCTGCCTTGACTGACTCATGCCCTCCCCTTCGTTTGACTGACTGGTGCACCCACATCCTGACCTTATATTGCATACTTTTACCCTACATAAGAGAATCTATCCGACACACTGGTCTCAGCCCGCTGTGCGGGAATGTAATAAAATTTCTTAAACTCTCACAACGTCTCTTGGCCTGGCTCTTTTCCGCCTGGACCTAACACTTCCCACCGCCCAAAAGACACGATTCTGTATAATCAGGCCCCTGTTTCCCCATCTAAACTCATGTCGTGTCACTTGCCTCCTCATTCGTTCCTCTCCAGCCAAACTGGCTTCCTTGCTGTTTCTGGACCATTCAATAACGTTCCAGCCCCAGTTGCTATCTCCCTGCCTGGTATGCATCACTTCCAGTTTTTCCCACGGCTGGTTCTTTCTCAACCTTCAGGTTTCAGCTCAAATGCCACCTCCTCGGAGAGGCCTTTCTAGATAGCCCAGCTAAAGTAGCACTACCCACTCTTTGACTCATTCTTTTCTTTTCATTTTCTTCATAGAACTTTTCAGTCTTTTGTCTTGTTTTCTGGGGCAACCCCAGCAATTAGGACATGGTAGGTGCCCAATACATGGTTGTTGAGACAATGTAGTTTGGGTAGTCACCTCCCAGAGCATTGATAAGTGGCATCTATGTATGATGCTGCTCTGTGGAGTTGTCACTGCATAAACAGGTCTGCACTGAGTAGTAGTACTTGGGCCATGTGTTATTTATCGCTGATATTATTGCCTAGATCAGTGTCATGGAATGATGTCAGAGATCAGTGAAGGAGAAATTATGCTGGGCCTATTTTATCACTGAAACTGGATTTTCTTTCTTCCTTTTTTTTTCCTTTCTCTTTTTTCAGTATGGTAGATTGGTTATTTTAGGTAATCCTTCCTCTGAAAATAGTGGTAATATTAAATAAAGTATTAAAATATCCTCTGAAAAACACTGAAATGCTTAAAGCCTGGGGAATGTCTAGGTCAATTATTGGTTGAAAACTGATAACCAGTTAACAGGAAGATTGGATTATTGGAGGACCAAAGCTACTTATGACTTGAGGGCATTTGCCAATATTGAACGTGTGAGTTTCAGTTCATTAGCTACATAGGGCAAGAGGGACAGAACTGAAAGTCCAGAGCCTGCCCAAGGTGGGGCGAACCTCCTCCTCACATTGAGCTGAGACCCCCAAAGTATTTCACCCTAAAGTTTTATGTGATAAGAACCTACTGCATACCCCACACTACTTGAACCGCGTTCAGCACGGCCAGGGGTGAACCTGAGGAGGGGTGGTAAAGGATTAAAGAAGACAGACAAGAGAATACAGTTGGGGCTCGGTAGGATCACTATGCCTGGATGAGGAAATAGTGACACAGCCTGTAAGCCGAAGCTTTATTTTATAGTCAGATCACACAAAGCAAAACAAGGGGAGTGGTCAACATGTTTATAATGTTCTTGCGAGTTTCAAATCTATTTCCTTATTCAAGCCTTATTTTGGCAGCACTTGCTGCACCTCCACAGCCCATTAGCTACCTAGGAGCAAGGGAGGACTATAAGGTCAAGCTTAATTGCGCTAGGAGGGCTCTGCCCTCCAAGCTGGGACTTGTATATGGCTTTGCCACAGGTCAGTCAGAGGCTTGACCCTATCGCCACTCCCTACAACTACTAGCTCCAAGTGAGTTCAGATAAATTTGCCTTGATGCTGAGAACAGTTGAAGGAAAGTCTAAGATCAGGGTGTTTGCAGGTTTGGTTTCTTTTGATGCCTTTCTCCTTCACTTTCAGATGGCTAGCTTCTCACTCACCATGTCCTCACATGATTGTTCCTCAGGAGACTTTGTCAAATCTCTTTTTATAAGGACAACAGTCATTGGATTAGGGCCCACCTATATGACCTCATTTAATATTAATTGTCTCTTTAAGGGTCCTATCACCAAATATGGTCACTTCTGAGGTACTAGGATATCAACATATAGGATGTCAACATTTGAATTCTGGGGGACACTGAATTCAGTCAGCCCATAATACCCATCATGCTTTGCTGCCTCCTACCAATACCAACAAATCTAACAAGATGTCAGGGCCCAGCATTATTTTGTATGTCCTTTCTTTCCCTTTCAACTGGGGTCTGGTTTAAGCTGCTCATGATTTCTCCTGTCCCCACAGGGAAGTTTACTTTTGGGGGGGTGGCTGGAGCACTCATTATGGAGGGGGACACTGGAAGTTTCTTAAATGTTCCCTCCTCCCTGTTTGGCTCTATGCCTGTAATTACTACATTATTTACTACAAGAGTCTCTAAGCTGTAATTGAATTAGGTTCAGTGCCAACCAGCTGGCCCTGAGGGAATGGGACATGGAACTGATAGATTTTGGTAGAGGAAGAGATGGAGGTAAGGAGTCAAAAGTTTGAAGCAGGGGAAGCCTGCCTGGAGAACCTGTTGGAGAACCTCCCTGTAAGCTCGTTGGGTTGTTCCACCAGTCAGGGAGTCAGTCAACAAGCATATTGCCCAGGTTACCTCTGTGCCAGAACCTGAGTTCCAACCAGAATGAATGAAGGACCTCCCCTGCTCAGAGGGCCCCCTATTGAGGGGGTAGAGAAAATACAAACTTCCAAGGGCTAAAGATTATCACATGACAGGGGATCTCATCCAGGGAAACCAGGGAGAGCTTCTTAGAGGAGGCAAGAAGACAAGCTTCTATTGTTCCAAGGGTGGAAGATGACATTTTGACAAGAGAGAACAGCAAGTACAAAGGCCTGAAGAGCAGATAAAAATCAACTATTTGTATATGCACCTGGATATATAAAAATATGTGGAAAGCTGCCAAGGCTTGTGTTGGTAGAACTGTTTGCTGTCCAGTGCCTCCCAATGGCCCTGTTCATCTCTCCTTCCTCCTTCCCCTGTACCCATACCTCACTTATTACCCTATTACTCCTTTTACAGTCCTTGGACTCCTTTCATTTTGACCTTAAGATCTTTGCACTTGCCCAAGAGGCCTCTCTGTTCCCTTTTCTCTGTCTGACTCCATCTCATTTCTCAGGTCCACCTCCTCACAGAGACCAATCCTAACCACCTTTTCTAAAGGAGGCTCCCCTCCCCCCACAAAAAAAATTACTTGAAGTCATGTCACTTTTCTCTTTTTTTTTTCTTGTTTACAGCCCATCTTGCCTGCTGAACTATGACACCATGAAGGCAAATATTTTTATCTTCTTGTTCATGGATGTGTCCCTCCTAGCATACAATAGGCACCCGATAAATATTTTTAATTAATTAAATGAATATGACTGTACTAATATGTTACTTGAATAATTTTTTTTAAAGAACAGTTATATTGGGAAATTCTTGCAGAGGAGAGATAATGAGAATCTGAGGCTATTGGATCAATGGGGATGTTAAAGGAAAGATAGGAAGGAGGAAACACTGGCCTTACTAGTATTCCTGCCAGAGAGGCAATGAGAAGGGGGGTTTAGGGCTTGAGGTGAGGCCTAGGTCTCCAAGGTTCCCAAAAAAGAGAGTGGGGCATGGAGGCTGGTAGGAGGGTGGGTTCTCTGTGAAGGACATTTGCTCAGGGCTCACTGTGCAAAGGGGAGACTAGAAGGAGAAGGAGGTAGCAGTGTGGGGTACAGGGATAGTGTTCAGGGCAGGATGGGGAGTTTACTGGTAGAAATAAGCCTTGAGGCATGTTTAAGTGTAACCGGACAACCAAGGGGTCCGGGCTGCTTGTCACTACTTCAGCCAATTAAACAGAGACAGGGTGGAGTCATATATGAGCGTTTATTCCAACAATGCTGGCAATATGGGAGAGCAGCAGGTCATCCACAAAAATCTGCTCTGCATCCCACCATAAGCCAGCTGCTTATATTGGGCAGGACAAAGATTACGTGGGGAAGTAGGAATTATAGGCATGGGAAAGTACAGGTCATGCAGGCTGGGTGGGTGGGTGGGGAGGTTGGGGGTGTTTGCAACCCGGCAGGCACCTCTGGGTGCCCAGACCAGATTACAGGTAATAGGGACTGGGGGTTATAAAGAGTGGGTGCCTCCAGAACTAGATTTCAGCCACGAGGTTGTAAATCTTTCCATAATGATAGCAGTTCTCAGAAAAGGAGGATGGACTGCATTCTGATGTTAGCTCCCACATCCCAGGGTGTACAGCTCTCAGCCAGGTTAGAACGTACTTCCTCTAATCAGAACAGAACCATCATGGTTAATAGAGCATGCTTAATATTTATTATAATTATAGCTGGTCGCCAATACTCATTTCTGCTGCTAACATAAGATGAGGGTCTGTAAGGCAACTTAACAGGAACAGGGGCTGGTAGTGTTCCAGAAGGACAGAGGAGTTTTGAAAAAAAAAAATATATATATATATAACTTTTAGGAGTTCTACATTTACTTAGTAAATATAAGAAAATAAAAATTGTGATTTTTATGATTGCTTTGGATGAGGCTAAAATATAATGAAAACATTTAAAGACAAATCTACGGTAGCCCAGTTGGAGGCTTTGGCTCATGAGAGACATCACAATTGATGGCACCTCCCTGGTTCCCTCTCCCCACACCCCAAACACACCCCAACTCTTTCTTTTCGTCCAAGTGTACTTCTTTGAAACCACGATCACACCTTGTAATTAAATAATTTTAAAGACCTCATGCTTGTCTGCTCCTCCCACCCCTGACTCCATGGGCATGCACCGCTGTGTCCTGGAGATACTGCTGTGTGAGACCCAGGTAGAGAAGCCCTCGGGAGCGGCCGTGAAGTGTCTGAGGGTCGGAGGAAGGGGCAGGAGGATCCTGTGAGATCTGCACGGGCTTTCTACGAGGCGGGGCTGGAGGTGGCCGAAGCGGGTATTGGGGGTTTACGTGACAGAAATGGGGTCCCCGAGAGGCAGGGATGGAGGTCTGTGTAAAGAGGAAGTGGAGATCCCAAAAGGTGTGAATGGGGAGCGGGTTAGGCAATAGCCACTGGTGAATCTCCGAGATGACGAGGGGTTAAGAGGCTGAGATGGGAGCCACAGTGGCTTTGGGTCCTCAAACTTTTTAAACAGGGGGCCAGTTCACTGTCCCTCAGACCATTGGAGGGCTGGACTATAGTTTAAAAAAAAACTATTAACAAATTCCTATGCACACTGCACATATCTTATTTTGAAGTAAAAAAACAAAACAGGAACAAATACAATATTTGTATTTGCATGTGGCCTGCGGGCCGTAGTTTGAGGACCCCTGTTGCCCATAGGGCTCCCTGTGGGAGGCGATGGGAGTCTAGGACAGCGGTTCTCAACCTGTGGGTCGCGACCCCTTTGGGGGTCGAACCACCCTTTCACAGGGGTCGCCTAAGACCATCGGAAAACACATATATAATTACATATTGTTTTTGTGATTAATCACTATGCTTTAATTATGTTCAATTTGTAACAATGAAATTGGGGGTCACCACAACATGAGGAACTGTATTAAAGGGTCCGGCATTAGGAAGGTTGAGAACCACTGGTCTAGGACGAGGGATGGGCTCTGTCGCACATTGGGGAGGGGTCCTGTGTTCATCGGAGGTCCCCGTGACAGAACTGGGTGCCCGGGTGAGGTGGGAAGGGGGTGCAACAGTGGGGGATACGTGTGCAGCGGGAATAAGGTCCGTGTGGCGGAGTGGGGGGTCTCACATGCCACATGCCGTGGAGACGTGTGTGCGACAGAGTTGGAGTCAGGTCCAGTGTGGCGGCGATGGGACGGTGTGCAAAGTTGGGGGATTCAAATAAGGTGGGGATGGGGGTCCCCAGGCGCCGGTGAATGGATCATCCAGGCGGAGCTGGGGCCCCCCGGAGGCCTGGGGTTTCCCCCGGGCCAAGGCCCAGGTTCCGGACTGAGGGTTCGGCGGCGGTTCCCGGGGCGCCCCCTGGCGGGCCCAGACCTTCGCGCCGCCGCCGCCGCCGCCGGCTCCCAAAAATGCTTCGCGGGGGCCCCGCCTTGGGGCTCCCGTGGAAGGCGGCGGGCTCCAAGGATTGGGGCAGACGATCTTTGGAGGCCCTGGAGGGGTGAACGGGCGCCGCCGCCGTTGGAAAGCCGCTTTTTTCCGCGGTGCGCCCCCCTCCCCGCCGCGCCCTCGCAGCGCGGGGGCCCAGGGGCGCGCGGCGGCCGCGGGGGCGGAAGGGCGCCGGGGGCCGGAACAGCCCGGGGGGAGGGGGCGCGGGGCGGGAACAGCCCGCGGGAGCCGGGGCCTGGGTGGGAGCCCCGACCCCGAACGGCGGCGGAGAGGAGGCTCAGGGGCGGGCGGGCCTCGGGACCGGAACAGCCGGGCAGAGAACGCCCTGGGAGGGAGCGCTGGGACCGGAACAGCCGGGGAAGGCTGCCCGGCGGGGAGGGGGCCTCGGGCCGGAACGGCACCTGCTGCCGGCGGCCGCGGGAGGGCTCCGGAGGGAACAGCCGGGAGGGTGGGGCCGTCCGGGCCTGGAACCGCGGGCGAGGGCGGCAGCCTCCTGCGGTCCGTGGTGCGGGAGCTTTTATGGGACCGGAGGGCCTAGGCCGGAGCCGCCCAGCCAGGCGTTTGGCCACGAACTAGTATTGAGCCTCGTGCTGTGACATGGTCTCAGTTCAGACCAGGAAAGGACAGCGGCCTCCTGCGTGCAAGGCCAGGACTTGGTGCTCACAAAGCCAGCACACACCAGGCGCCTGTTTTATGCACCGTCTCGGGATGCAGAGTTTTACAAACGAAGACCAAGAAAGGATGGGTGCCGGAGTTGTGCTTGGCTGGGACGTGGTGTCCCAGGCCCACACCAGCAGCACTGGGCACCCACTGGTGGTCCCGTGCTCTGCAAGATCCGAACATGGGCGTGGGCCTCGGGCACAGGGAACTGTGGGCTTTGGAGACAGCAACGCTGGGAGCCTCAGCGACTTCAGGGTCACGTCATAGGGTTGATGTTGGGGGGCGGAGGGGGGGCGACGCAGACCCACAAGTGTTCTTGGAGGGTGTGATAGGATGAGTACACACATAATTAGGGTGCAGACTGAAGGAAGGCCGGACTAATGGTATGTGGCTGAGGCTTTGAGTGCTGCAACTCCCCCGGAGATCTCAGCCATGTGCCTTCACTTCTTGGAGGATTGGAGTTCTCACCATGATATAGGGTGTAACCCTTCCCATCTACTCATTGAACCAGACAGCCCCTGTCCCATAGTCCAGTGGAGAACAGATAGAAATGATACAAGGAGCAATTATAGGATTACCGTACAAAAAAGACAAACAGTAAAGGAAAGTAACCTCAGCTGGCATCGCTGCTATGATGGTGATGGATGTGGAGGGCCAGGGTCAGTGGTGGTTCTCTCTTGGGGGCGGATGGGGGGGTGTCAAAAGGATGGGGTGAAGCCTGCTTTCTCTTAGGTTCCATGGGATTCATCAGTGTTTGAATTTTTACTGCAAGAATGTGTTCATGTATTGAGAGGTGAATAAATTAAAGAAAAAATCAGTTCTTAGGACAGTGTGATGCATGCTGGGCTAGGGGGAGGGCGGCAGAACTGTGGGCATCTAGAGATGACCTGGGCAGTGGGAACTGTATTTGCAAAGCTCTGAGGCGAGAGAGGTCTTTTAGGGATTCACAGAAGTTCACGTGGGTGAGCAGCTAGAGATGAGGCTCGTGAACTTTATCTTGGATTCAGAGTGGAGCTAAGAAAGGATTTTCAGCAGGGGAGCACACAATGTGATACATGTTTTATAAAGTTCACCCCGGCTGCTCTGAGAACAGACTGGAGGGGGCCAGAATAGCAGCAGGAAGGTGAATGAAATGACTGCGGTTGTCCTGCTGAGAACTGATGGTGGTGTGGGCCCAAGGGACTGCTGCGGGGTTGGGGAGAAAGTGAATCTGAATGATATTTAGGAGGCAGAATAAGCTAGATTTGCTGAAGGAATAGAAATGGGGGAAGGGAGAGGAGATAGGTTGAGGGAAAAATCAAGGGGTGCCCCGGAGGCTGTGGCTGGGTGGACAGTGGTACCCTGTTCTTGATGAAAATTACTGGAAGAGGAACAAACTGCGGGGTGGTGATGACATTTAGTTTGAGTTCAGTTTATTTTTATTTATTGACTAGAGGCCTGATGCATGAAATTCATGCAAGGGCCTTGGCCCCGGCCCCTGCCAGAGGCTTCTGCTTCGGCCCCCACCCGCTGTGGCTTTGTCCGGAAGAAAGAACATCGGTCTAATTAGCATATTACCCTTTTATTATTATAGATTTTAGAGAGAGAGGAATGAGCAAGAGAAACATTGATTTGTATTTCCACTTATTTATGCATTCATTGCTTGATTATTATATGTGCCTTGACCAGGGATTGAGCCTGCAACCTTAATATAACAGGATGACTCTAACCAACTGCCTCTCCCTGGCCAGAGAAGTTTGAGTTTAGT